GAGGAATTGATGATGGGACCTGAGGATTGGGCATGGGCTTGAATCAAGCATACAATACCACGCATTAACTACTACTATAGCATTCTCCTGATTAGGTTAATAACAAGCATCTTTAAGCGTTGTAGCATTAACCTTGTTGAGCCAAAAGCCAAAATGAAATTGTCTATATTAGGTTATCCGATTCGTTGACATTGAGGCGTTGCTCAGAAGACGTTATCGTTATGACTTATGAGTAGATCAACATTGCACCAAGATGAGGGGAATGTATCGCACTAAGAAGAACTGCTATCTGCGAGTAGAAGATTTCGTGGGTGGTTGAATTGTAAATGCTGTATCAAGGATAGACTCCAAACCTCTTCCCATGCCGAGGAAGCTGTAGGTAATAAAGATGACCAAATAACTAACCAGAGAGTATTTCTGTTCTGGTCTAAATAAAACAAATAAACAGCTTCGTTTTTTCCCCTCCTCGCCTCGTGGCAGAGCCAACGTCACATTCCACCCACATGCTGGGAATGGAGGCGAGACTCGCTCCGTGGTAACAGCCACCACAAAAACGGAAACAGAAACAACAAATCAGGAGGATACGCCAACCCTCCTCTTCCTCCCAACGCCAGAATATACCTAAAATATGAACAAGAACGCCACAGGGGGCACAGCACGACTGGCCACCAACAAACGCGTGAGTATTGGACCATGAAAGATGATGCAGACGGCATCTTTCAACCATGCTTGAATAATCAAGTGTCTGCATGTTCCTGTGGTCAGTACCGAATGCATTCGTTTCCTCCTCTTTCAAGTGCTGATATAGCCCCCTTCACCAACTAAAAGTCATATGTTTTCAATGATATGGAATAGAGTAAGGCCGTTTAAATGAATAAATGCACGGTTTATATCGTAAGGCGAACAGAATGTCGAAGTGCTTTTTAACTCGGACATGGCAAGGAGAGTCGTTATGAGATCGGAACTGGCGTTAACAAAGTCGAGCACGAAGTAGGTATCATGTTCGGTCGCGGACGATCCATCGCTTCTTCTCCTTGGGCTTCTCCTCCACGGGAGCACCGGCGGCAGCACCTGGTAGCATGAGGCCATGCGAGTTTCGGTTCGATTCATCGTCGTAGGGAAGACCTCCGGACTCTGATGCCTCCATGCCGGGACCCCAAGATGGTCGAGATGCAGATCCAGAGTGCTTCTGGCCGAGGTGAGTCTGACGATCCTTCTTGCGCAGGTAACGGCGACGCCAGATGCAGGCACCGATCCAAATGGCTGCGATGCCGACAACGAGAACGACAATCATGATGACCCATTGCCAATGGTTGGAGATCCTGATACAGTTAGAACAATTCAAGGTGTGAGAAGTAAATCGTCGACATACCAATCGCCACCACCTCCATTGTTAGATAGCTTGCTACCAGACGTTGATGAAGCATCGTCACCTGTCAAAGTCGTAGAGCCGCCAGTTCCAGTTTTCTTGGTTGTTCCTCCATTTTGAGCAGTCGAGACGCTACACATGCTTCGAAACCAGCCGGCGATGGATGAAAGGCCCTTGGGATCCGCGGTACATGCGTCATCGCAGACACCCGTAGTGGCGGTCGAGAAAGCGGCGACTCGTTGATCCAGACAGAAACATTGCGTGTAGGCGGTTGGGCCAGCATCAGCGGCTACTTGAGGAGGAACACAGGCACCGTTGGCATCGTAGAGAGGACCGCAAGCGGCGGCGCAAGCGGGAAGGATCTTCTGGTTGTTGAAGGGAACGATGGTGGTGACGGGGGCTTCACCTCCTTGTTGGGCTGTTCAGGTTGAGTCAAGGTTAGTATGAGGGGATTTGCGAAATCGACGTGGATTGAAGCCGAAGGATGACGCACCCATTTTGACGAAGATTAAGGGTCAGTTAAGCCCAGTTGGGAGAGTTCGATAGTCCAAGTCGTGGTCGTGGTCGAGGTCGAGATCGGTGTCGAAGGGAGAAAACGAGCGACGGGATCGTAGGAGGAAAAGATACGATACAGACACAGACAGTAACGAGAGACGAGGATTAAGGTTGTGTTCAGTGGAACCGGGGGGCGGGAGGTGTCCTTTGTATGTATGTGTGTGTGTGTCTGTGTGTGTGTATGTGAGGGAGGCAAGACAAGACAAGGCCTGGAGAGGTAGGTATGTACAGCGTGGAAGCGACCTGGAAAGGAAATGCCGTGTCTGTCTGTCGTCTGTGTGTAGCCAAGGCTGGCTTGCGTTTGTGCAATACGCTATTGAAAGAGTCGTGTCGTCACCAAACCACTTTGAGTAGAGGGGAATAAACAAAGTCTGACCGAAGCCAAGCCCAACCTCTCTTCTTTGTGTTTTTTTCCGTCCGAAAGAGAACAATGAGATCAGAAGACCCAGTAGAATTCGGTAGTTGGTCGAGAGAAGGATCGATTTCACTTGCTGATCGATAGGTAATCGATGTTTGATGGAGATAGATGGCTGGGAAGAGACGAGGAAGACGAGAGCCCAGAGAAAAAAAGAGTGGGTGGGAGCAATGGAAGTCACAGTGAACAACAGCCTGTAGCCGGGGAAAAACTGGGCCACTATCTCACTGTAAGCGGCAGAGTCGGGCGACTTTGTAGCGGGACAAGACCAGGGCCAGGGATGTTTTTTTTTTTCCTTTCTGGCAGCGGGTGCAAGGGAAGGGGGGGGGTCTTGTCTCGTCTCTTTTAGATGCGACGGTCTTGCCGAACTCGGAAACGGATTGGAATTGTGAGGAGATGACCCGATGATAGCATTTGGAGGGGAATGCACAGTAAAATGAATGTCACCAAAAGCATTCACTCACTCACTAAAGAAATCTGGAGGGAGGGAGGGAAATACTTGGAATACAAACATAAACTTGCCGCGTAAGTCAACTCTGGGCACTTTCACTGGATGGTAGCAGCCGCCCAACCCCAACCCATCGGTACGAGAACAAAAAAAGATGGTGCCAAGGGACTTGATGTCCAGGTATCTACGGGAAGCCCGGAAGCCATCTACACATGGTGTCGGTACATGGACCCCATGTATCTTCGTTCAGGTATGGGTTGTATCACGCGGTCGAATCCAGTGGCCTGGGCTTGGCGCATTGGGCTTGTCCAAAGGCAACAAGAAAGAGAGTTTCCGCAATTATTATCGGCAACTGAAGCTGTACTTGGATGCATCATGCGGAGAAGATCATTTCTCACCAGAAATGCCATCTTGCATTGCATAGGTACACATCCGTACAAGTCTGCCCCTTTTTGTTTCTGGTGTTTTCGTCTCGTTTTGTTTACTTGGTCTTGTCCCTTACAGTAGAACAGAAAACGTCTGAGAGCGTCTCAGTTTCAGCACAACATCGATGAGAGCCCACAGTCTGTATCATCCATTATCATGGTCCGTATTATCCGTGATGCTGAACTGTATAACTGTGCCACCTCGTACAACGACATTGCCGTTACCGTCTTGCAGGCCTCTCGTCATCTCGTGTACAGTATTGTTAGGTACACAGACACAATCTAACCTTTTCTGGTTGTATTATGAACTACTGTCCATAGCGGCAGAGGCCTCGACAGCTGAACTTGTCCCCTGGTGCCAAAATAAACTCGTCAATGATAAACCTAAACTTGGGCTAGATCTTTTTGTCAGCTAAACCTGAGGTCTCCAGTCTGATTGACTTTCTTTCAGTGGGAGACTACGGTAAAAAAGAGCCGAAATCGTGCCCAGCCTAGCCAGCCCAGGCCATTCAGCGGAGTTGCGTGCCTGAAATAGTGCTTCTCCACTGCCACCCTTCAGGCGATTGGTTGGATTCTGGGTTTCTCCGTCATTGCAATTTCCGATGCGTGCGCCTCTTCTCATGTTGCCCAACAGAGAAACCTCATGATAGAGATTTTGTCAGAAAACGGCAGGTCAATTGTGTTCTAGAGTGTTATCCCCTGCCAAGAACCAAGACTCACCTGCATCTTACCTTTTGCAAACTGCAACTTTGAGACTTTGGTATGTGATTTACTTTTACTGTCCCTTATTTACCTCGACACCATCTTTGACGATGTGGTACCCCCGATACGAATACAGTAATACAACTTTAAATGCGCTCAAATACGAGAAATTCCCTCCTCCATCCTCAGCAGCCTCGATTTGGTGAGATATCCATCCGTACTTGGCGGGTTTAATGCGTGTAATATCGACAGCCATGACGACGACTTTACTACTAGTATTCTATAGCACACGGATCAACTGTCAGCTCTGCCTCTAGCACTCTAGCACTCATTTGCAGTCAATGCTTGACAGTCAAGCCATGTTATCGCTGTCAGAATTAGCTTCCGCCCTATTCCTCAAGCCTTCCATTAGCTGCACCGTATTTTACACGGCGTCACATTGATGATTGAGTTCATGCACACCACACCAAGCCATTGCCAAGATATTGCCTAGACTGAAGTATCTTGGAACCTCATTTCTGGGCATGCCATTCAGGTTGAGCATATTGTGTTTTAGTTGACCGCTAGACTTGACTATTCTATCATATTTATTGCTATAAAATAAATATTAATGTCATATCTAACCCTAAAATCTCTATTCCGGACCATTCCCGCCTTACAATGAACCATCCCATGACGTGCATTTACCTATAATTTCACTGAAGTCATGTGGTTACTAGCTTATTATTGCTTCCATCAGAGCATCTAGAAACATAACAAACCGCTCATCACGTTCATCTAGCGTGTCAAGAGTCTGGAATTTTACGTGACAGTTCCTCCCTTTCAAATGAGGGTCTCTAACCTGTAACATATCAAAGTGGATGAATAATGTAAAACAATTGTCTCGGATTAATATCTTGATCCACATTCTGATATCCTCAACATTCAATCCCTATCTCAAACGTCTCCATCTTCCTCTGACATTTGACCCAGAGTAAAATATGGCACCATGAGACGCTAATCGTCACTACCAAAAGTCCCAGACTCCAGTTGATCGTTTTCTCCAGCTTGGCTTCATCGTTTGTGTGGCCTTTGTGTAGATCATCCCTAGACGTTTTTGCCTTTGCCCTTTCCCTCAACCTTGTCGTTGTTGCCAGGCTGATTATTGTCTTCCAGTTCCTTCATGTCTTTATCTATCTGGTCTGATGTTTCTTTCGGGCAGGATCTTTGCTCGCGACCAGGCAATTCAATTAAAAGGGGAGGCTCTTGATTGAGCGTCTGATCTTCCCATGTTCCTATTGCCGCCGGCTGTGGTTGACTTGACGCTGCTTGAGAATTGCCTCCTCCACCTGATGTAGTCTCTGTAGATGAATTTCCACGAGACCCAGATGGCTTCCCATTCATCGGTCGAGCGGCCTCTTCTTTTTTGCTAGGGCCCTTCTTTGGCTGATTGGCCTTCTTTGATTGATCAGACATGATGATAGGCGAGTTCTGTGAAGACTGATGCCAGAGTACGTGAAGAGTGTTTCCAGATGATAGAGCGTTATCTCAAAACTCCAAGATGAAAGTGTTCTCTGCGTAGACTAAAGTCTTTAACAAGTTCTTGGTGATCATATCAAGGGGAGAATGCCTAGCATTTATAGTCCGAGAGAACGAGAGGCTCTCTCATCCGTTTGTATTGCAGATGATGCAAACTCTCCTAACGAAACTCAAGCATGACCTCTTATGACTCTAGTGGTAAAGCAGACTGCTTCATACTCTGTTTGTTGGCTCATTGCCAGACCGCAAAGTATGGTCACTGGTTACACTGGGATGCTCTGGGATCAGGGTTGAAGTTATATCGTCGGTGATTCATCTAGAAATCGAGCACTTAGGGGACAATCTGATGCTCACGCACGCTACTGCATGTGTATCCTATTCAGGATAGTATGGTCGGGTTGGGATAACACGCACTCACTTTTGTCTGATTTATTAGTGAATCAGTGAGAAGGGGTTGTGATGCGATGCATCATGAGACGATAACACCATGTCTCTTTGCTGTGAAGGTAGCTCTGAATCTGCCTTCTTACGCATTCATCGGACTATCATACCGCATATCCGCAAACTTTCAGATGCAATCATTGTTCAGTCTCTTCTTTGCTCGCAATATTAAACGCAGATGATGATGCCTGTCATCCATTACGAACAATACATGAAGCTAGGGATAGTGACGGATGAGATATCAGCTGGCCTATCCATATATCTCAAGACTCGAAGTCCCGCTCGGTGATTCTCATGCGGCTACCTGTTGTCTTAATGCGTAAAGCCGTTTCGACTCTGGTCTCCAATCAATCACAACCACTAGCACTCTCGACATGCTGCATCTCTCGCATCTTACGCAATGCGTCCCACAAGGTGAAGCAGTCATCGATCCTGTGAGCGCGGGTGATTGCAGAATGAATCAGGAAGAGAGTATGAGAAGTTTCCCGGAATGTTTGTAGATTAGCAAAAAGAGGCCAGAGCCACGCCTGATCCTAGAACTGTCTCAGTCGCGCTATTGATTTGGATGTTACACAAAAGGCATGTGAGCCTATGAGCGTAGCAAACAGGGACGGCAGATGCGATGACAAACTCACGAGGTGAGGTGTTGATGCGGGCATCCCGAATAATATGCGTATCGGCATGAATCAATGTCGATACCCGTATAATCAATGCATAAGCAGGAATTTGAGACTTGCCGGTATCTTACGCTTGTAGATTGCTCTGCCACAGATGCACAACATTAGCTTGCTTTGATATCAGGTTGTTGAGAAAATAGCGCCGAGAACCCGATTAATAATCGACGCAAGGTATTCTGGGATGTGAATACTCCTGGAGTCATTCAATAGTTGATCAAATTCCGTTTGTGTGCTTCCTCATTATGGGATCTCATGTTTCCTGGGCCAAAGGGTCATTAGCTAGCCTCACAAACAACTTCATAGGCAGGTGAATCACGATAAGGGATACATCGTATAGTCTAAATTCTGTAAACGAGAGATGGTATCCTATGTAAATCACTTTTGGTTCTTGTTTGTAGATCCTCCCACTGAGACTGCAAAGCCTCCAAGTTCACCTCATTAGATGCTTCTAGCACAATCTAAAAGACATTACCCTTGGTCTGCTGTCTGTCGATCGGCTTGTTACGCCAGACAATGACGCAGATACAGATTAAAGGCAAGAAAGCGCATCCGGCAATAACCATCTCGCGCTGTACGACTCCGTAGGCGTGAACAACGGCATCTCGGATAGGAGTGCCAATGGGGTCGGCCATCTGCAGCTTCATGTCACCGTAGAGGGCAGCGGTTTGGTTCTTGGCATCCTGGGGGAGAGCATTGTACATCTCTCTGGGTAGATCGTTAGTCCACAGGGCACCAGAGATGCCGAAACCGATGGCCTGGCCGATGGAGCCGAACATAGAGTAAAGTGCAAGCACAACGGCAATCTCCTGGTGGGTAACCTGAGTCATGATGGCCAGAGGCCCGGTCATGGCCCAGATACCACCGCAAACACCATGGAAGACCTGGCACATGACAAGGTAACCGATGTCGTTTCCAGGCTGTCGGAAGTGAATGAGAAGTGCAGTACCAAGAACACACCAGGGGATACCGAAGACTGCAGGCCAGTAGTATCTTCCATACCAACGGAGGAAACTGTATGCCATGTTAGCAGAATGATCATATTGGTTGGCACATTGGCGCAACTTACAGTCCAATGAAGGGCGCCAGGATAGTTGAGGTCACAGAAAATGCGTTCAGAGTGTATCCAGCGGTGGCAATGCTGAGACCATGGACAACCTGTAGGTACGAGTTGTAATAAGTGTCCCAGGCAAAGATGGACATGTTGAGAAAAGCGCTTAGAAGACAAGCACCGAGGATGGTTCGGTCTTTGAGAAACTTGAAAGGCACATAGGGCACCTTAGCATACCATTTCTCCCAGGCAGCAAACCCAGCAAGGCAAACGACGCCGACGACAAGCATTGCGATGATATAGTCAGTCTTCCAACCGTTGGGAGCACGAGTGGCAATGTTGAGGGGGGTCAGGATAAGAGAGAAGCCAGCGATGGTGAGGATCATGCCAACAATGTCAAATTCGACAAAGTAGTACTTGGTTGAGTCCCAGATACTGCGCTGACTCTTCTCTGGCAAGTATCCAAGCTTCTTGGCCTTGATTTCATGGTACATGAAAATGGCAGACACGGGAATAGAGAAGAAGACAAGAATGATACAGAAAGATCCAAAAGCCCAGCGATAGGTCGAGTGCTTGAAGAACAACTCGGCAATCTTAGGGCCACCGAAAGTGGAAGCAAGTCGGGGGCTCATGTAAAGGCCGAACATGATCATACGGTTGCGGAGAGAAGTCATATCTGAGAGAACGACATCGATAATGTAGCTTAGACCAACGTGGCCAACCCAATAGAAAGTATGACCAGCAGCATAAGTCTCAACATTCTTGCAGCAGGCCTTCATAATCATCCCGATGATAATTATCAGAATCATGAGCAGGAACCCCTCGTTTCGGCCGCGGATATCAATGATCTTGGCGATGGCGAGCTTGCTAACACCCGCAATGATGGATCCGAAGACACTGGTAATAGCGAGAAGGCCGTGCTGGCTGAACGAAGACGTGACATATGGCACCAAACTGGAGTGAACAGCTTGAAGGAGAGTATCGACAAAGTTGACCAAGTAGAGGCTGTATCAATGTTAGCGGGTTCTCAGTGGTTCATAAACAGGAGCATTAGAGAGCATACAAGATGAAGACAGCCCACATCATACCAGGGGACCAGACTTTGGTGATGGCCTCGACGCGCTTGACACCATCCTGTTTGATCTCAGAGCCATCATCGGAGTCATGTTCCTTTTCCTTGTCGGGGAAATCATTGATGACATGGTTCTCAGGCTGTATCTGCTTCTCGAAGTCGCCCTGGACTTGGGCTGGGCTAATGGAAGCGGCCATGCTTTTTTCTTGATGAGATCTTCGAGCTCTAGTGATGACCAGAGAGCTGGGAATAGACTTGTAAAGAAGGTTAAAAAGTGCCACGAGTGGGTTATACTTGGCTGAAGGCCTTCGTACTTAGGGTAGTGGCATGAAGGGACATAAATGCAACACAGAGATGTGATTAAGGCCGCGGATTTATACACAGCGTTACATTCTCCAGAAATATTCGCGACATCCCGTCTCGTCTCTTCCTCCATGAGTGGCAAGACAGTGGGATGGATTGGTCCATCTTCTGGGTCCTGTAGGGATTAGTCTTGCACCAGACATGTTCAGTAGAGCTACCAGTGCCTTGTTACGGAAGTCGGACTAATGCCAAGCTCTTTTACAGAGAAAAAGTGCGCAGAGAAGGGCCAAGAAGGGTCGTAGATTCATGGTTCCTGTATTGCAGTGGATGGTTCTGAGTGGAGTTTCTGCGGTAAGACGGATCAGAACCCTTGAGCATCGGAGAGAAGTCTAGTGTCAGGGAATAATGCTTTGTTCTCATTGGGAGAAGCTTGAAGGATTCATGTCGGTAGAAGATCACTTCCGTAACTGGTCTAATACCGAACTCTGGCCGCTGCAGAGGCTCTTTTGCGATTCAGGGATGCTCGCCCAAGCTGCCTTTATCTGATCATCAGATAAGCCGATAAAGGAGATTTAGTGGGGAGTCCCATCGCCTAATCCAAGCCGGTACAAAGGATCCCAGCATAATGAGTTCATGACCGATGCCGTTCGGTGAACTCTCACAGTCCGGTCCTCGACAAGAGTTGCTAGAATTGATATGGATCTCTCCCAAGCACGAATTAGAAACTTGATGACCTGCAAATAGTTGAGGTATCCTGTGAGCTATCCGTTTACTTCCGGCCCCAAGAACAAATCCTAGCAGAGTTTTACGTACCCAGTTGAGGCGTGCTGGGTTTATGTTGCGGCGCGGCTCTTCCAGCCACCAGCGACTGATCATCTAGATAAGATAAGATCGTATGAGATAAGGTTTCTCATGTTGGTTCATCGCAGTTCCTGTCGCTTAAGCAGCCCTTGTCCGCATTTCTCGTCGCATTGTGTGTTCTGCTTGACTGCAAGCCGACGAGATAGTCTTTCTACGTATTTGTCAGAAAATCGCGATGTCGAAAGGCAAAGTTGGTTGCTGTTCAAGTAACGCCTCTTACCTCATCGCGAACTAGTAGGTAAAAGCGCGTTGTTTCCGGTGGACAACATGAAGCCATCGCCTCTAGTCGGTGCAGAGCTAAACTGAAGATCCTGGGCAGTTCCACATCGTTTTACTGGAAATCCTTACTAGCACACGATATCTTATGCGGCCAAGAAGGACAGAAACGGAGTTTACCGACGTAATGGAGTCTTCGTGCATTGGAAAGTGGAGGATTTGAAGAAGAAGGATTCTATTGCAGTGGAGCCCTCTGGCCTTATACGACCCTCGTTCAGCCAATGCTCTCTCTTGTCTCAAGGTCTTGCCTTGAAGATCGTTCGAGCAGGCGTGGGGGCCTTGGGCATAATCTAATCTCCATCTTGACAACAGCGAAATGCTTAGGATCGAGGTGACTCTTCCTCGGAGATGAATATCTTGACTGATCAGAAAGGTATCAACAATGGTGGGCCAGATAATTAGGTAGCATTAGAGCCATCGTGTTAGTAGTAAGATAAGGAAAATAACAGTCTTTTTACTAAAGGCAATAAATCGAGCATTTTTCATCAGAAATTATATCTAACTTTGAAAACAACCCTACATAGACAATATTAGAACAAGCTCTATTATCAGCATTTACTCGTGGACCTGTCTAAGAGTTCGAGGTAAACAGTAGTAAGAATCTATCTTGATTTGATTTCTATTAAATACTTCGTTAGTTGTCAGGAATATCAAATGAAAGGTTCGTATCGTATATGATGTGGCAAAGGATAGTAATGGATGCGCGCCAAACCTTTGATTCACTTATCACTGCAGGTCACTAGGGTCTCAGGCTCTGAGACGGCATTTGCATAATAAAGACATGCTAGTTTGAGTATACTGTTCAAGTCGCCTTGCCAAATGGTATGGATGATAATATTTCCTTATATTTCAATAACCTTCAGGATCTTACTTGATATACAAAACCTTCAACAAGTGGCACTTGCTATCAGAGTTTTCCTTGGCCGGTCTTCTCTACAAAATGGGTTTAGACTTTGCATGGAAATCAGCGCAACATCTCAAATGAGTCAGTCAACCGTGTGATATTCAAGATGGCTTTGAATAAGCTTCGCGTATCATCGTATCGATAGAGTCCCTCCTAACAAATGGGCACCATATGCTTGGAGAAGCTAGGTACTGCAGAGTATATTTTTCTCCAAGGCAGCCCTCCAAACACTTAGATGATCTAGCGTTGGCAACGTGAAGGCTCTCTGCCCAAGATAGGTAGTGAAATAGTCAACAAAAAAAACTCGGCATGTTGCTTGCCATCATCAGGAATGAGGATAGAGACTTCGAGGATATGTGATTGAAATCATACCTAAATGGCAAGGTCCAATGGACATAGAACTTACTTATTCTCTGACACTTTGAGCCTTTATCTGTTGCCAGAAACTTTCAACATACATATATAAACTTCTAAATGTTGTATGATATAAACTCAAAACGACTGTCTAGACTTATATAAATAATGGGCTTTACTTTTCACCACCCGGCCGGTTTCTGTGCATACTGATCTATCCTTGCTTCAAGAATTTCAACCGACAGCTGGCACAAAGAACAACAATCGATTATACTAATTAATCAAAGATTCTTTGGTTCAACGGCTTATACAAAACGAACGAAATGGCACCCCCTAAACAATCATTCACTCCTACTAATGGGAAGTGTCTTGGCCATCGGGAAGTCTATGCCAGTCCCGATGACCACGTCAACCCGAATGCCAACGTCTTTGAAGAATACCATTCCAGTCCTTATCACGCGAACTCACCATCCTTCTTTGATGACGCTTTCTGCCGTTGTGACGATTCGTCGCTTACACAGGAGGACATTTTCGGTGCAAGGGTCGTCCACCGTACTGAGACGGATAGGGACTCGGAAGATAGTCGCCCCAATTGTCATGTTGAGGAGGACTCGAACCTCCATGGCCCAGAATCTTGGATCACAAACCCCACTCATCCTGTTGGACTCTTCGATCCTCTCGCACTTGTTGGCTCGACTGTTGATCCTAGACTTCTCTCTTCTGATGGTTCGGCGGACAATGAAACCCATATCAAACCTAACGCAACTGAGAGCGTGCTGTCGCAAACAGAATCCACTACTGCCGACAGCAAAATCGTGCAGGGTCAGATCAAAGCCGATTTCGATGAGGAGATGCTTCAAGATGCCATGGCCATCCTAAAACTTCAAGATCTGATTGTCTTAAGCAAGCAAGATCAAGCTCGCATCAAGGACATTCCTATCATGATGGGCAAATGGGCAACACAGAAATTGGCGGATACTGTCTCAGCCCTAGAGGACCAGTCTACTGTTGACGGTATATACAAACTTCACCAACTTTTACTGTCTCTCATCAAAGACTACCTGACTAAGGCGACCTCTGATTTCCTTCCACGAGCATACCGAGGTTTTTCTATGGTGGATCGGGACTTGACTTATACCGAACACCCAAGACCTGAGGGAGGGTTTGACCTGGATCTTGTTGGCAAATCTGGACGAAAGCTTCTTTTCTGGGCTTTCTTGAGACACGAGTTGATGAGCAAGGTTCGCCTTTACGCCGCGAATGTCGATCATTGCTATAGGCCTCCAGTCGAACTGAGTCGACGAGAAGGCCGTAAGTTTCTACCATGGGAGGACGAAGCCATCAGGTGTGTTCATACCTATATACAGACTCTGTATACAGCCTTCTTTTCTGAGTGGTCTGGAGCTGAGGTGCCATATCCACCATCCCCGGGACTTGTAAGCTCCAACAGCATGACCTGTGGGACAGCCCAATGGGTAGAAGCACTCACAATAAGTCCGTGTCCGCCACGGCCGCAGCAAGACTACCGAATTATGGTCTTCAACCAATCATGAGCCTCATGGATGAGAGACAAAAGCAGCAAGGTCAAAAAGCTTCAATTGAACCTGCTTTGTCTCTTCTCAGAGATGCCGGTTGCGGTTGTGGTTATGGGCGCGCCCATAAAGAAACCATTTCGGGGAATTTTGATAGAAACAAGGTATTGGTTCCAGGATTGTGGATGGACATCGTACTTTGCCATGGCACGCCTCGCAATTATACACATGAGAATCTCATCCTACTTCGACAGCGCGCATGGGTTTTTTTCTGGGGTCCTACAGCTCACCCTCAACGAGAGGCTTTACTCAACATATCGCACGATGCAGGTACTGGAGTACCCGTTCTGAAAGGATGGGAGCGTTCTTGGTTCCAATAGTAGACCATGGGTGCAGATTTGAGCGACTTTTACTCGAAGTTGGAAGTGCACCTCAATAATTCCACAGTACCTTAACTTACACGTTTGGAATGGCATGGAAGTGAAGTGAGTGACTTACAGTTTACAAGACTTCCTTGCGGTACAGGGTAGATGTCTGTGTCGGCGCATGATTCGGCGACCAAAGCTCATGTGGGTCCCGCTTCACCGTCTCCGTACGTCATCGGTTCTAACTCGTCAGGCGCCACAACTTGAACCTGAATAGTTTCAGCCTTGCATTTGCGTCTCACACAACAACTCTCAGCATTTGTCGCTGTGAGTATTCACCATCATCGTCCCTCGCGATGAAGAACGAAACCGATTCATGCTGGAACCAGAGTCAGAAGGCCATCGCCCCTGACACCGGCAAGAGTCTCGAGGTCCAGCTCGTACTGTCTTTGGTGATTGGTGTTTCTGCCTTCTTGCTCTTCTGTGTACGTTCGTCCTTGGCACGCCTGCAAGATGCTTCACTGCCCTTTAATGATCCGGCAAAGCTATAAGGTCTACAGCTGACTCCAATAAAGATCCTACGCCCGCGATGGCCCGCCCTTTACGCTGCGCGAAAGCGTCGCCTCGATCACCACCTTGGTCTGCCTACCCTTCCAAATTCGACGTTCGGCTGGATCCCGGCACTTTTTAAAATTACCGAGGAGCAGGTCCTGGCTTCCGCCGGACTCGATGCTTTTGTGGTACGATACAAACCCTGAGAAGCGTGTATGAATCATTAACGGGTCATAGTTTCTGAGCTTCTTCAAAATGGCCATCCGACTCTTTAGCGTCATGGCAATCTTTGCGACTGTTGTTCTATACCCAATCAATCGTGCATTTGCGCATGACGGCCGTAAGAATGGCGGCAGTGGTAATGATACATCTATTAACCCGGCTTCATTGTTCGGAACAGATCAGCAGGTGTTCTCAGATCCAAGCTTCTTCGACATACTGAAGCACAAGGATAAAACGGACAAAAGCTTGGAGAGGCATTGGCTTTGGGCTTATGTCGTTTTCACATACTTCTTTGTTGGCTTGACGATTTACTATCTCAACCTCGAGACATTTCGTGTCATCAAATTCCGCCAGGACTATCTCGGATCACAGTCCACTGTAACAGATAGGACATTCCGACTTACAGGTATTCCCGAGGATTTGAGATCGGAGGAAGATATCAAGGAACTTATTGAAAAATTGGGCATTGGAAAAGTTGAGAGAGTTCTGCTTTGTCGAGACTGGAAGAAGCTTGATGACCTTGTTGATCTGAGAGATGCGACTTTGCGACGCCTGGAGGCTGCATGGGCTACCTACCTCAAGCACCAGCGCAAAAAACAAAAAAGCAATACGCCCCAAAGGAGAGACGGTAATGGAGTGCCTCGCGACCAAGAAGATGACGACCAAGCTGGAGAGAACGGACGCCTCTTGGACTCTCAACAGGATCCATGGGGTTCTGACGATGAGGGCAGACCTAAAGTCAACATACGCTATGGAACCCTTGGTTTGCGATCTCGCAACGTTGACGCCATCGATTATTACGAGGAACGACTTCGAAGACTGGATGCCCAAATCACAGAGGCTCGCAAGAAGTCATACGCACCAACAGATATGGCCATTGTTACTATGGACTCAGTAGCTTCTTGTCAGATGGCTATCCAGGCACGAATCGACCCCAGACCAGGCCGGCTCTTGACCAAGTTAACACCAGCCCCTTCAGATCTCGTCTGGAGGAATACCTACGCTCCTCGCGGTATTCGCCGCCTTAAATCATGGGCTGTGACACTGTTCATTACGGCTCTCACACTCGCATTCATATTTCCCACCATTGGCATCACGACACTGTTGAGCTACTGTACAATCAGGGATTACTTTCCAGCACTGGCCAAATGGCTACAAGAGCACGGCGTTATCTTTTCGTTTGTCCAAAACGGTTTGCCCGCTTTAGTTGTATCGCTTCTTAACGTTGCTGTTCCGTATCTATACGATTTCCTCTCCAACCACCAAGGAATGATTTCCCGGGGCGACGTAGAACTCTCTGTCATCTCCAAGAATTACTTCTTCACCTTCTTCAACACCTTTTTTGTTTTTGCGGTGTCATTGACAGGAATCAATTTCTGGAGCCGGATTCAGGAAATTGCGAAGGACACAAGCAAAATGGCGACTTATATGGCCGACGATGTGGAGGCGTTATCGATTTTCTATATTTGCTTCATCTTGCTACAGGGCATTGGCCTCATGCCCTTCCGAATTCTCGAGGCGGGAAGTGTATTCCTTCATCCGTTCCTCCGATGGCTTTCTAAGACGCCACGCGATGCCCTTGAGCTCAAAAAACCCCCGGTATTTCAATATGGCTTTTTCCTACCCACGGCTCTGCTCGTTTTCAACCTCTGTCTTATCTACAGTGTCTTGTATTGGGGATATGCTATTCTCATTGTTGGCACTGTGTACTTCTGTCTGGGCTACTTTGCTTTCAAGTACATGGTACTCTACGCAATGGATCAGCCTCAACATGCCACTGGAGGTGCGTGGAGAATAATAAGCTACCGTATCATCGTGGGGTTGCTCGTCTTCGAGATTGTCATGGCGGGCCGGATCGTCACATACAAGGCATTCATTCAGTCGGTGTGCATTCTGCCACTGCTCCCCTTGACCACCTGGTACAGCTACTATATCAAGCAGCGATTCGAGCCTCTGACCAAATACATTGCCCTTCGCGCTGTCAGGGCAGATGAGGACCCAGATGATGCAGCTGCACTGGATGACGCATTTGAGAACGAGGACCGCCCTCGACCCTCACAGGCCATTCTACGTCGCGGAAGTACCCTGGACGAGTACAAGGAAAAGGGATTGCAATTCGTCAACCCTAGTCTTGTGGCCCCGTACGTTATTATTTTCCCACTATTTGATATGAATTCTGACAGATATACAGACTTCCCCAGCCGTGGATCTACGACGAGCCACCTCCACCCATCCCCACGGATGACACGCAGACAACAGAGGAGACTGAGCGCCCTGTTCTCCAGGGTGTCGATAGCACACTAGGTATAGGAGACGAAAATGTGTGGAGAGACAACGGAGGAAATAATGTTTAATGACGTTGATTGAAGGTGGCATGCATGATTATGGCGCTTGCCTGGGGTTTGAAGTTTGAGCAGGTACCCCAATGTCCCTTTCTTTTATTGCAAGAATACACGTTAGCTTTTTTGTCCGTCGAAATCATGTCTAGAATAACTGAAGACATAGAAAACTCATGAAATTAAAGCGCAGTTGAGTCGTGAGATTCTGTCAAGCAAGAGGTATCCTGATCTGCCCCTTCCCCCTTTCACTTCCAATCCCGTGAACTCGACAACAGTACTTTCCTTGCTCAACAATGACTGGGGCTGATTTTCTTCTCCGTCATCATCATTCGTTTGACAAACTATCAACAAGCACATATCACGAGAACATTCGCTCATACCTACATATAAATTCTATACACACCTTTCAAGATCTGCTCAGATCGCCGCTGCCTACCTCTTGATGTACCATCGGGCGTGACCTCGCTAAGCGCATGATCTGACGAGGCATATGCGGCTGATGCACTTGGGCTCCGGCGACTTTCGGTAATCTATTCGGTCCAGTCGGAAACGCCTTCAACATTCCGGTAGCAAACCCAGAGGCTTGACTATAGGGAGCGACACAGGGTTCACGGCAATGACCCTTCTGAGTGGAGACGTCAGAGCATACGATCAATTCTCCCAGTTCATAGAAGCACGCGATGGCCATGACCAACAACAGCAGCATTGCAGTAGAGAGCAGAGCCCAGACCAAGAAATAACCACCAGCAACATCAGGGACCACTACAGACCTGCTCCCTTGGGCGATGGAGACCACATTTTGTACACAGATCCCAGAACCGGGACCCTTTCCTTGGGCTGTAATGTAACGGGAGGATCCTTGGATCGCTTAATTTGCAAGGCCCAATTTCGTCCTCCAATGAATACAACGTCAACGCTGCCCGTGGTATACACAGCTTTGTCTGACACGAGATTCGGGGTCTGTGTCATGGCGACATTTTCGGTTTGGAGTGGATACGATAGTCCAGGAGAGGATATCTTAACCAGACCCATCAACCCCGATCCGTCGATATCTTCAGACACAGACAAACAGATGATTGTTTTTTACATGATACCGCCAGATGTGCTTGCCGTCATATCTCACGGCCTATGTCGTCAGCATTGCATGAATGCCACCCAACATGATGAGAATGACAGCTTGTTGGTTGAGATAGACTCACGGCCCAAAGGAAGTTGCAACGAGATTGACTCTGAGGTTGATGGTTTCGCACAAGTGACAACATATCCACTCGAAATTCGAGGACTACCAGTTGCTATCTGTTGCAATTTGGTGGAGCTTGCCCTAGATTCGGGAGCTGATATGATTCTTTGGGCATTCTGCGAGCAGGGGTGGGCTCGGGCGTGGGCCTTGCGTGTCGGTCATCAAGACACACCTCATCGTACAGTCGTGGAGGCCAATGGGAGTCTGAGACAGGTCGATTCTAAGGGCGACTACAATATGACAGAAGAGGAGCAGGTGGTTGCAGCGCCAGATGTTTCTTTTAAAGCTTTGACAAGTGCAGAGATTGCCCTGAAGACAAAACCGGACACGACTGAGCAAATACCGCCGACCTACGACCATGGGAGACTTGTTACTAAGATTATATTTCGGGAGTGGTAGATGAACTTTATTGAGGACTCGAGAGGGAGCTTGACTCCTTGTTCAGAGAGGAGAGACAAGGGATTCGGTGATGTTCCGGAAAGACCAGAGATTGCATTATCAGTTGAATAGCATCAATAAGTAACATGATAGTCTAAGCAGAAGTTACAAGGATTATTACCGAAGAGTGAGCAGGGGTTGGTGCAGCAATGACGTTGGCGAGAAGCTTGAGTTTTTAGTCTCGTTGTTTCAGCCCAGTAACTTACAAGTCTAAGTTCCGATGACGGCGCTGAAGCTTAGATATCGCGGGATCCACATCGGAAGCGACGGTTCCGATATGGAGACTCTTGTTCGCCGGTTGATATGTTTAACGGACTGAGACCGAAGACTAAAGGAAGATAACCATTAACCGTAACAGATGAAACTTAAAGTACAGAAATCAGACTGGAGTTGAGAGACAGAACTAGAGAGAGAAAGAAAAAGATGCGGCTGATATTGAGGCTCACAAACAAGCAAGGATGTCAAAGGCATGTAACGTGTTCGTCCCCTGACCAGAAGAAGCAAATAATGAATCGATAATGCTATGTACACTCCAACACCGAAGTATCCCCAACCAACCAAGCGAGTGACTCCAGCAAAAACAGGTAAATTTGTGATATGCTTAATCCTTGTACTGGTAAACACACTCGGATGAAGCCGCACGGTTCGCAGCCGCATCCGCAAAGAGTGGGTCCTTGGACCGGGTGGCGAGCGACCCACTTTGACGGCCCAGCGCCGGAATTCGGGTGCGGCGATATCAATTCAAGTGGGGACAAGGTTACCTTTCTCAATGAATGAGAATCTTTGGAGCAAGAGATGAGATGAGATGGGGAGGTATATAGAGATGGGCATGGCCCAGTTTATGAAAGATTTGTTTTCGTTGAACATCTTGAGACATTGACTTGATTCTCATCCTTTATCCTACTCTCCTTGATCTTATTAACCCTTTATACTGAGTATTGTAACACACTATCAACCAACCAAACAAACAAAATGGATCAACAAAGTCCAAATCGCTCTTCAACAACTCTAGAAGGTCGTGAAGACGACACCACCTTCGCACCCCTAAACACCCACCAAACAACAATGAGCCGCATCCGTCGCTCCCTCTCCCACACCCACACACATTCCCACGACGGATCCCAGAAAGAAACCCGCGATCCAGATCTAGATATCGACCTGCCCTACCGAACCCTCAGCGCCAACGCAAACCTAGACGAGTACCGCGTTGAAGTCCCAGGCGGTGCCATCCCCGGTCCTATCCAGCCTGAGGAGATCGCGAGAAAGTCGACGAACCATGAGCCTGGACAGGAGAGGCGGTATAAGCTTGTGACTTTCACTCCTGGTGATAAGGAGAATCCTAAGAATTGGAGCAAGGCTTACAAGTGGTGGTGCACTATGTGTGTGGCGCTGACGTGCTTCGTTGTTGCGTTCTGCTCTAGTGTTATCACTGCTGATATCGCGGGCGTGGTTAAGGATCTGAATGTTAGTAATGAGCTTGCTCTTGTGAGTATCAGTTTGTTTGTTGTGGGTTTTGGTGTTGGACCTATGGTCTTTGCACCTCTTTCTGAGATTTACGGTCGACGAATCATCTAGTAAGTCATATCAGCCAAGATATTCGGTGATTGTTACTAACGATGTTCAGTGGCTCTACTCTTCTTGTGGCTGTCATCTTCATCATTCCTTGTGCCGTAGCAAAGAATATCGAGACTCTTCTCGTCTGCCGAGCCATCGATGGTATTGCCTTTTCAGCACCCATGACCCTTGTTGGTGGTACACTCGCCGATCTGTGGAAGAATGAAGAGCGTGGTGTACCCATGGCTGCATTCTCTGCTGCTCCCTTCATCGGCCCTGCTAGTAAGTTACCTCTGAATACCCTCACTTGTCCAAATACTAACAAATACATCAGTTGGCCCTCTTGTCGGTGGTTTCCTCTCTGATGCCGCTGGTTGGCGATGGCTCTACTGGATTCAGCTCATCCTCGCCTTCGTTGTCTGGATCCTCATCACCTTCACCGTTCCCGAGACTTATGCCCCTACTATTCTAGCCCGTCGAGCTCGCAAGCTTCGAGCTGCTACTGGTGAAACAGACCACGTCACAGAGCAGGAACTGGATCTTCGACCTCTCTCTGAGCGTCTCCGAATCTTCCTCATTCGGCCTTTCCAGCTTCTCTTTGGCGAGCTCATCGTCTTCCTTATCTCCGTGTACATGAGTGTTCTCTACGGTCTTCTGTACATGTTCTTCGTTGCCTTCCCTATCATCTACCAGAAGGGCAAGGGTTACTCTGCTGGAAAAACTGGTCTCATGTTCATTCCCGTCGCTGTTGGTGTTCTCCTCTCAGCTGCTTGCTCTCCTTGGGTCAACAACCACTACATCTCACTCGTCAAGAAGCACAATGGTCATCCTCCCGCTGAGGTTCGTCTTATTCCCATGATGGCCTCATGCTGGTTCATTCCTATTGGTCTCTTCATCTTTGCCTGGACCTCATACAAGGATCTTTCTTGGGCTGGTCCTGCTATGGGTGGTTTCCCCGTTGGCTTTGGCTTCATCTTCCTTTACAACTCTGCCAACAACTACCTTGTCGACTCTTATCAGCATCAAGCTGCCTCTGCTCTCGCTGCAAAGACTTGTATCCGAAGTTTCTGGGGCGCTGCAGTTGTTCTCTTCACTGAACAGATGTATGAGCGTCTTAACGACCAGTGGGCCTCAACACTCCTCGCTTTCATCAGTCTTGCTTGCTGTGCCATTCCCTTCATGTTCTGGAAGTACGGTGCCAAGATCCGTGAGCGAAGCAAGTACGCCTACGGTGGTGAGGACGAGACTGTCGACGATATCGAAAAGGCCAAGGGCCATGTTAACACTCATGGCGGCGCTCAAGTCCGTGACGACTCTGAGGACGAGGATCTTCGCCGTGCTCGCAGCTATGTGAGCAACCCTTAAGCCAATTACACTATATTGGCTCTCGAACTTGTCCTTTGGACATTTTCACATCAAAAATAGACTGGGACTTAGACTTAGACTTGGGGTAGTACCAGGAGGTCGGACTTTAATGCCTGGACAGGACTTGCATATAGATATAATATGCGCGGAAAATCATTTGGAGTGGACTTGGATATTTAGCATAATACCCTTGAATTTAATGTCGTTTTAATCAACACACTGAACCATCAGTGCCTCTATCATGTGTCTGCGAGAAGTATCCTAGCCTGATAAACGAGCCTTGGCTGACCATGTGCAGCAGAATCATCAAAGAACCATTTCCCTTCACCATCGGAACCGAACAAAAGCGGAACGAAAACGAATAAAGAGACACGGCGCCCGAACCTGCTATCATCATACACAGAAACTAGGTTTTCAG